ATAAAGTAGGATCTCTAATAGATCTATATACTTCTATATACTGTAAATTCACATACTTAGAAGGCAACAATACCTGGACAGCTAAATTGCAGTCAATTGAACAGGTAGATTGCAGGCGGCAGTGGATTGCTTACTTCTAACATATATTACAAAAAGTCACTGAGTCGATCTATCCTACGACTTGAAAGAATAGGAACTGAATTGAATTGGGAGTTGATATATTCCTATGACTTGAAATAATAGGAACTTGCTCATGATGAGTGGAAGATTTCAGAATACTGGACGTGGTTCCAATGGAAGAAATGCTGGACGAAACAGTTCGCAGCAAGGCCAAAGTAATTGTCAATACAATGGAAATAAGAGTGGCAATGGTAGCCAAAAAGAGAAGAAGTTTCATCCTCTGACTAGAGGAAAGATTCCCGAATTTAGCTTTGATGAAGTAAAGAAGACATTGGGGATCAAAATGTCAACGATGAAGATGGATCATATTGATGACATGATTCAGAGTGTACGAACCATGAAGTTGTTTGATATTCAAAGTGTGAAGCCGGCATTGGTATTGGTAACTAATGACAGCGATCCTGATAAGGAGATAAAGAATGAAGAAAGAAGAACTAATTATTTGGCTGATCGAAAGGATTGGAAGGCCAGGAAGAACGCGTTTGATAACAATAAACGCAATGTCTATGGAATGATTATGAAAATGTGCACCGATCATATGGTGGACAAGCTTGAGCGAGAAGCTGACTTTGAAAACAAACTATTCAATGATCCTGTGGAGTTATTGATGCGGATCAAGAAATTTATGACGACTACTGTTGATACAGAATGGGAATATTTTGGTCTTTGGAAGACAATGAGCAATCTGATTAATTGCCATCAAAAGGAGAAGGAAAACATTGCGAGTTTTCGTAAACGATTTGAAGAAAGGGCGAAGGCATTGCAAGCTTTGCTCGGTGATGATTTTTTGGACAAGTTTACTGAGGAGAGTCAGGAATATGATTTATTAGGAAGCGATGCTGAACGATCGCAACATAAGAAGGAATCATGGGAAAGATTCATGGCCAACGGATTTCTGTATAATTCCGATAGTAGAGCCAAGTATCAATCAAGAATTGATGGAATGACGGCGCAGTACACGTTGAAGCATCTGGATTTCAAACAACATTGTACATTTCCAACTACTTTGGAAAATGCTGCTGATGTTTTGAATCAACACAAACACGATAACAGGAAGAAGAATTTGAATGGAGGAAATTCGAATGGACAAGGCAAACAGAACAAGTCAAACAACAATCAAAATGACGGAGCTCAGCGTTGAGGCAACGCCAGAAATGCCGATCGACAGCACCTATGAAGTGACTGTCCCGTCTAACTAATAGAACAGATAGATCCGCACCGCAGGTGTGCTGTAAATCACTTTAGTCTTTTAGAATTTTCAGAAAACAATGAGGATTGCAAAACGCTTTGCAATTGCACTGTATTCTGAACATTCGCTTTCTACTTGTTCTAAAGATTCTCGTTGTCGTAAGCTAATACGTCCACGAGTACCAGTCATACTCCGACCAATACATTCCAACCAATATGCCGTGGGACATGTAATTGTAATAAACGTGATTGGCGTTTGTGACTGGTGAGTCACTAATGGCAAATCAGCTTTGCTCCAACGCTCAGTTTTTGCAACAACAAACTTGAGCGTGTTTTGTATGTGGATCAAAAGATCATGCATGTCGCACCTCAATGTGCGGAGCTGCGGGAACAGTGGAAAAACCCGGACAAATATAGGGATTATTCGAACGAGAATGGTCGTGGTAATCGACAAAACATGCAACGTGATGAGAATGTAAAGCGTGATGATGATGAATCGAGAGATTCAAATACTCAATGGAACTATGGACGTTCCAACAATGGATCCCATGGAGGACAATTTATTCAACGAGGACATACTGACAATCATCCAAGACAACAAGGGATGATGTTGTTCCAAGAACTCAACAATACTGGTATCCACTTGGACAGTGGATCTACTTTTCATTTGCGAACCAATGAGGATGACTTTAAAGATTATGCTTGCTTTCTTTGCTCCAAAACCATCAATACCTCCAGGCAATGCATCGCAACCAAGGGCAAGCGCGAAAAGAGCACAAAAACGAATTCGATCCAAGCCATCAAAGATGGGATGCTGTGGGTCCTTTTGAAAGATAGACTGTCGCACTTTCGGTTTTAGAATCTCATTGATATATTTTACAACCTTCTTTGGCCCGGTCCAAATCTCAAAGCTTTCCAGATGGGTGTTGCGCTTGCCCAATGTTGGATTCCGTAGCATGATGTCGCCACATCCATCAGGTACACCTCCGCCCACGTACATTGCAAAATCAGAGTCACCCGACAAGACTGCATCAACATCGCCATCAATTGCATGCTTTGCGATGGCTGGATCCGCTTGCCATAAAGACTTTTGAAGCACTATGCTGCTTCCATTCGTGCTTGCAAAAGACTTCACCAAATCATCAATTTTGTCAATGAAGTCCGGAGGAAGACCTCTCTGCTGCTGATTCTCCTTTCCGCGAATCTGTTTTATCAATTTCTCCTTTTGCGCTAGAACTGCATTGGTTGGATTGGGATGGTTGATCAGATTTGCTAGAGTTGCCCGGTTCTCCATAAGTTGAATTCGGACGCGGTGTCTTCTTGCAACACGATCTTGATGGGCCCTTTTCGAATGATGGCGAACTGGACCGTCCGCATCCAGGATCACATCCACGCCTCTCTCTGCAAAGAATGTTGCAATAATGAAGACTGTTCTAGCTGGACACAAGATTGATTTGCTCAAAAAGAGATATCCGAGCAGAGATATATCAATTGAGATTCTTGGATGGATCCTTGTGGTATGATTGTTGTATCGACGGAGGCGGTGATGTTGCTCCAATAAATAGATAATAGTAAGAAATTCTACCTTGGAAGACTTCCAAAGGATGTTATTTTGATCGTTAATACCCATCACTAGTACGAATAATGCCGTAAAGTGGAGCCATTGTCATTATGTTTAGGTGTGTTTCGTTTCCGATCGTGACTTTTTTCACGAAAAATCTAATCCAAATCGCCCGAACTTTTCGGCCTAAGGGGGGGTCCATTATGCATCATGGTCCAGTAAAATTGGGGAAATTTTTTCATCGTCGCAGCACAACAGATCCAGCACCTGGAGCATTACCTGCAGCTTTTCTGTCACTAATCTTCAGCAATTAGAAAATCAAGAATCATTTCGACCAAAACAATCAATGGACATCTGTTGTCAATAAAGGTTGCCCTTCTGACTATTCTATTGATAATTTTGGCTGCAGACTGTGTTGCTTTTCACAGTGACAGAGATCGAGACTTGATGAAAGAAATTGGAACATTCAACGACGAAAAAGTACCATCACACAAGCGCAAGCTTTTTAATCAGAAAGGTTGTGATGAAAAAGAGTACCCAAACGTTCGTGACAAGACCGGTGACGATGAGCAAACGCAAGGGAAGCGCTTGAAAGCTGAATCCAAACCAGATGACACTGTCAAGACTTCGAAACGACAAAGGTGCGAAAATCGTGAATACGTGAGCAATTATGAAAGTGAGCTTAACATTTTTGATGACAATATAGCTACTTGTCTTGGGACGAATATTTCCTCTCTATCGCACTGCTGAGTTCAAAACGATCAAAGGATCCAGATTCGCCGTCTGGTGCTTGCATGTACGTGTCGTTGCACAGAAAGCTGTCCATTCTAAGACCTTTTCCTCATAGCTCTGCGACTTTAGTGTTGATAAGTATAACCGAGTTGTTGCTGTCGGGTACAATGGGTTCCCGGTAAGTTGGTCTTTGCACTTTGTGTAGTGCGTTATTCCCCTCTGTGAATGATTTCCATACCCTTTTATTCTTATGCTTCTCCTCATCCCTGGTAGAAAGGCTGCTCAGACACCATATTTCCATGGCAGACTGGAAAATCGAAGACAGACCTTCACAGTAAAGAGCCCTATGTCTGTAACTCGATCACAAACGGTAAGTGCCACTTCATTTTGGTTGGACTTTGAGGCAGGTCGAACTGATCCTAGCCCAAGCAATCTGTAACAAATGCAGCGATGATGTAGCCGGATGCCGACTTTACGTGATGTCTTTTCCTGGTAGTGATGACGCAAAAGTTATCATCCAATCTCGGATAAAGGAGGTTGTTATACTTCAAACCAGAGAGACTCTCGACTTTGAATCACCGAGTTGTGATGAACAAGCCAGTCGTATTCTTTTGGATATGGCAAATGTTCGAGTAAGATATTACAAACCTTCCATACCTTCAATTACGCTCAATTTCTTGGCCGAGTCCTCGTCGAATCTGATTGATAAGCCATCTCAAGAACCATCGCACAATGATTTGCTTGCCATCTCGACATCACAAAAAGAAAGTAGAGCTAGTCAGTTGTTGTTGGAGGAAGCCAAGTACGACGTATCCAATATTCCTGACAATGGTAGAAGAAAAGATTATATCTCTTGGCAAGATTATTTTATGGCTATGGCATTTTTGACAGCTGAGCGCTCGAAAGATCCCAATACCCAAGTTGGGTGAGTACCATCGATCACATCGTTTTCTGGACCAGACAGAAATGATGCTCTGATAATCTTGTATCTTTATTGCTGTTGCGTCTCGCCAAAGTGCCTGCATCGTTGACTCAGAGAAACGGATCATAGGGTTGGGCTATAATGGCTTCCCACAAGGGTGTTCTGACCTCCAGCTGCCGTGGGCGAGGGGCAACAAGAATCCTCTAGACAACAAATACCTTTATGTTTGCCACGCCGAAGTTAATGGTAAGACTCAAAGTACCTGATCGCTGATACAATCACGCATACCAACACTGTGCATCATCACAAGCTATTATGAACAAAGGGAGCGCCAATGTGAAGGGCTCTACAATATTTGTTGCCCTGTTTCCATGCGAGAACTGTGCGAAGATGATAATCCAATCAGGGATCAAAGAAGTTGTGTACATGAGCGATTGCTACCACGATACGGATGGAGCCAGAGCTAGTAGAATTATGTTTCAGTGTGCAAATGTGACCCTTAGGCAATACGTTCCGACAATGCAAGAGCTTATTCTGGATTTGACCATGGGGAATCAATACGGAGCGAAGTAGTCATAACCTAATTTCTTAGTTTCCTACCAAAATGTTGTTGATCGGGATGTGAACGAGCTTCACAAAAAAGCCAATGAAACCCATAATCAAGAAACCGACGCCGGTTGCTCTAGCAATGTTCGTGAATTCCTTTCGGTCTGGTTTTGTGCATTTCTTTACCAAATGCACCGAATCCTTGGCAAATTGCTTCAAAGGTTCAATCAAAACCTCGTTAAATCCTTCTTTTTCCATCTTTGGTAATTTCTGTTCGTGGGAAAGCAGGACAGTGAGGAAAACATCTTGAGCAAAAATGAGAGAAAATTTTGAAGCATTACGGCAGGAAGACCCGCGATAAAAAAATACTTCTTCGAATGTAATACCGCTTTTTGCATGAATGGTAAACCACTTCTATGAAGGCCCAAGCTCATATTCAGCATATTGCACCCATCAAAAATGTTCGAAACGTGGAGCTCGTTTGTTAGAGGGCAAATATCATGCTTGCTCATTCGATTTCGTGTCGCATGCAAAAAGGAGGTGGCTTCACTCGCGCTTGCCCCATATCGTTCGATGCCAAGTGTTTCAGTTGCCTTCCAATAGACTTACAGAAGCTACAGTAATTTGAAGGAGTGTTATTAGCCATCGCTACGGTACGAAAGTTTCCTCACTTGAAGAATCGTTGCATACGGCAGTACTGCATTTCCAGTACATTCTAGTTTGGACTCGGTAGGCGGTAGGTACTTGCTACTTGTTTTCCTGGTACATTGATACCGTACATGATACATGATACCGACCGCTTGAAATATATTAAAATCTTTGGGGTCTGTCATGCTTCCGCCAAAAGTCCGTCACCCTTTCTTCCAACCAATATTGACCTGATGCCATTTCCCAAGAAAAATGGAGGAAGCAAAATTGCAAGCATTAGCAGATTCACTCTCTGGCCACGGTGGTCGCAAAGGTCTCGGAACCAGCAGTGGGCAGTATTCTTGGGTCAAGAATGCAGAACCCTCAAGTGGCAAGGGAGACCGCAAAGATGGGCTACCAAACAATCAACTCTATTCCAATTTTGTGAAAGCAGGAACATATGATCCGACCGAAAAGAAAGTGGACGGAGATGGGAGATTGATTAAGAGAGACTTTTCAGATATTGCGGCTGTAGTGGATGATGAAAAGAAGGCACAGAAGGATGCCAAAAAAGCTGCCAAGAAAAAGTTAAAAATGGAAGCAAAGAAAAAATTGAGGCTCGAAGAAAAACGAAAAGCAAAGAAACAAATCAAAGCCTTGAAGAAGGAATCATCGAGAAAACGAAATCGGGATGATGAAGCATCGGAGGCACCGGAATTGAAGAAGGAAAGAACAGAAAAGGAATTGCGACTATCGAATAAAAGAAAGCCAAGAGATGTAATCGAGAAGGACGAGAAGAAGAAAGGTTCGAAAGAAAGCAGCAAGAAAAAGAAGAAAGATAAGCGGTAGTCTCCACCTCGATGAGTACCGGTAGTCGATTGAGGGGTCAATGTCAAGGCTTTTCTATTGGTGGGACTAAATAGATTCAGATCATATTTCCTAGAATCGAGATAAGAAAAACAAAAGTACAACTATCAGTTCAGAACCGGCAATACAAACACGAATTCTATCTCCTGTGTGAATCGGTTGGAGGAATAATCATGCCCAAGGGAAAAGGTTCGGCTTGGCGATAAAAAACTAGACTACGAAAGATATGTAATAAAACTGAAGCATTGTTGCACCATCTATAGGCAAAACTTTGCTAGATGTACCCCTCATTGCCAGGAAGTCCATCCTTGCGCAACTTCACGACTCCGGGTCTCACGAGCTAGAGAACTTCACTCTCGCGTCTTCTTCCGTCAGGAACCCACTGGTAACATTTTGGTTCATATTGCCATTGAACAGGCGTCGTTCCCATGAGTTGATGTCAAAATACAGATATTGAGAACCCGCTGAAGATGAAGAAACACCATCCGCTGGACCTGCAACCTTAAACCAAAGCTTCAGATCTCCGTGATACCGCCACTCTCTAGAGTAGAGTTCTTGCGCTGCGTATGCCTGTAAAACATCTTTAGGAAGAGCGTAAAAGATGTAGAACAATGTTTCAAGTTGAAACTTCGACAGATGGCCAGTTTTCAGTGCCGGTGGTTGCATGTAGTAGCATGAAGGCAGCTATCATTCGTTTGAGGAGAGGATCGTTAGCGCCATTTACCGGTGATACTTTATGAATAAGTAGGGAGAAATACATGGCTTACCTGGAAATGGGGTTCTTTTGTAGATCCCGAACTGTCAGAAAATGGACCAGCAAAGGTGTTGAAGATTTGTTCGTTTGATCCAAGATTGAGGCCCAACATTGTCAGATCTGATCCCAGTGCAAGGGCATTTCTATCAGCATCCGTCATTCGAATCACACCCAATAATCCCAGCAGCCCATAATCCCCACTCAGTGCCGAACCAGCCGCAGCAACTGATCCTCCAATATTGGATGATCCTGCAGAGGATGTTGTTCCTCTCGATTGAAGATTTAAATGCGATGATTGATTCCCGACATTTTGCAAACCCGCCAACCCCCCTAGTCCACCTAAGCTGCCGCCTACCAGAAGTCCTGGTCCTTCTAATTGACTTCCAACTCCACTCGCTGATGGTGCACTATTTCCTCCTTCTATTTCACTTCCGTATATACTACTTGGAGCCCTTGACGAAGTTGGACCAAAGCCTACCCCCCCTTGCGACGAGTTGACACCACTACCAGTACCATCCATCAGCAAAGGCGATGACGAGGGACCAGAACCGCTGTTACCTCCGCTTGGTGGAGCTCCTGGCAACGCCGGGAAGTCCTCAGTTGCCATATTGAAGTTTCCTCCTCCGTTTGAAGCACTGCCCATTGCTAACCTATATAGATTACTTTGTTGCTTGCTGCCTCCTTGTAGCATTTGTTGATGTGCCAATATTTGCTGCTGCTGCTGCTGCTGCTGTTGTTGTTGCTGTTGTTGTTGTTGCTGTTGTTGCTGCTGTTGCTGTTGTCTCAGTGCTGCTGCTAGCCCATTGCCAGAGGCATTTCCAGAAGATCCACTTGAGGCGCTTCCGCCGAGACTAGGAAAGTCATTCAAGTCGAACGCATTGCTTCCGCTTGGAGTACCCCCTGGTGCAGCTGATGAAGAAGGAGCGCCTCCATCACTACCAAAACCATTTGCCAGAGATCCGCTGAATCCTCCAGCTCCCAGCAACAGATCTGACACACCTGACTGCTGAGTTCCGCTAAACATGGCACTACACAAACCAGCCCTTCGTATATCGATTCAACTTATGAAAGAGCAACTGTTGAATTGAGGCAATAATGACTATAGCCTAGAATGGGAAAGAGTGATGTCGCGGATATGGTACCAAGAAGACAAGGGTGAGACAATTGATCTGTAAGGTCCGACAATGATTTTATTAAAAGATTCACGGCAATTTTTTTTGTAGGATGAATGGCAGGGAAGGTTGAAGCAGCAAAGACCATTCCATGGACAACTACTGTTGTCTTATGAGGCATCAAAAGCTTCAAAATATACTACAGTACTGCGAACCTGTAGAACCCTACGACACCGCGAAAGCGATCCAGAAAGCCAACCAGCAAACCAAATGCCGATGACTCGGAGAGCTACAATCCCAAACAGGAAAGACAGTCCCCTTTTGATCACATTCCATGATTTTGGAGCTGCTAAGGATGAAATCGATGCTCACCTTGAGGATATTCTGGGCACTGCAGAGGCTTGGTGTTTCGACTTGGTCCGTTCCTCACTTCAAACATCCTGCGCGAAAGGAACGTGCACAGAAGATGAGTCGCAAAATAGAAATATTGCAATTACACAAGTTTTTGTATTGGAATTTCAACTGATTGTTCTTACTCATTCTCAAAATTCTTCTTTGGGATCCTGCCACGCACTACTGCACATCGATACAAAATCCAAAACTGTGGATCTGTGTCGTGGAACTGTACAAGCAGGAAAGAAACGAAAGCATCGAACAATGCTAGCTATCAAATCAACTATCTCACCGCTTACACGTCGTATGGGGCTGCGATCATTTGCAACGGGGAATAGCCTCAACGACAGCTTGAGCAAGGTGGACCCTGAACTTACAACTCTCATCGAACAAGAAAAGGCTCGACAACGAAACAGTCTCGTGCTGATTGCATCGGAGAACTTTACTTCAAGAGCTGTTCTGGAGGCTCTAGGTTCTGTACTATCCAACAAATACAGCGAGGGTTACCCGGGTGCTCGTTACTATGGAGGAAATGAGAATATCGACCAAGTCGAATTGTTATGTCAGAAGCGCGCCTTGGAGGCCTTCAATCTAGACCCCGAAGAATGGGGAGTGAATGTCCAATCACTCTCTGGGTCACCAGCAAACTTTCAGGTGAGCAAGCATGAAATGAACTGTGTCACTGCAAATCCATTTGACGTTTCCTTGCGATCCTAACACATGAATTTTCGTATATTTTAGGTCTACACTGCCTTGCTAGAAACCCATGATCGAATTTTGTCACTAGATCTCCCACACGGAGGCCACCTGTCTCATGGTTTTCAAACACCAACCAAGAAGATCAGCATGGTTTCGCGCTATTTTGAGTCGATGCCCTACCAACTAGACCCTTCCACTGGACAAATCGACTACGACCAGATGCAAAAGAGTGCTGAACTGTTCCGTCCAAAGTTGATCGTCGCCGGGGCGTCGGCATATTCCCGTCTGATCGACTATCAACGTATTCGAGAGATTGCTGACAGTGTTGGAGCATTTGTCATGTCGGACATGGCACATATCTCTGGACTTGTTTCAGCCGGTGTAATTCCGTCTTGCTTTCCACACAGCGACGTGGTGACTACAACCACGCACAAGAGCCTCCGTGGACCTCGTGGTGCAATGATCTTTTACCGCAAGGGTCAGAAAGCATTGGACAAAAAAGGAAATCCAATCATATACGATATTGAAGATAAAATCAATTTCTCTGTTTTTCCAGGTCTCCAGGGTGGGCCACACAACCACACTATCGGGGCGCTTTCGACTTGTCTGAAACTTGCGAACACTCCAGAATTTGTTGACTACCAAAAGCAAGTTTTGAAGAATTGCACACGACTTGCCGACGAACTAACAAAGAGGGGATATGATCTTGTAAGCGGTGGAACTGACAATCATCTTGTGTTGGTCGACTTGAAATCTTCTCGAAGCATTGATGGGGCGCGTGTCGAAAGAGTCCTCGAACTAGCATGTATTGCAACAAACAAGAACACAATTCCAGGAGACAAGTCAGCTCTCAATCCAGGTGGTATTCGTATGGGAACACCAGCTTTGACATCACGTGGATTGAACGAGGAAGATTTTGCTGCCGTTGCTGAATTCTTCGACCGAGCAGTCAGCATTGCAGTCGACCTGAAGGCCACAGATCAAGGAAAGAAACTGAAGGGATTCAGAGAAATGTGCAAGGTTGGCCCATCTGCACATAGTGACCTTCCAAGGCTGCGCAAGGATGTGTCCGAATTCGCAAGTAGCTTTCCAACGATTGGTTTTGACGAAGACGAAATGGAATTTGATGGAGAGTACAACGTCGACTTTGTGGCTTGATCAACTTCGTTATGGCGACATCGGAACACATTTAATTTTTAGTACTAGAATGAAATCGTATTTACACAGAGCATCTACAAATTTATTTCTTTATTTCTTGGTAGCATTCATAGCAAGAGAGTATAGAAGGGTTCCAAAGATAGCTACACTTGATCCGATAATCGATCCAGTACTCATCTTGGTCTTGAAAGCAACGACAGATGCAACGATGATGACAACACGCTTAATGGTGTTTCCAACAGCATGTGTCACTGGGTTGACCTTTCCGAGGGCAAGGAATGCAACCTCGTTGTATGCGTAATATGAGGCTCCGCCAAGAGCAAGCAAGGTAGAAAGGCTCTTCTTTGTGAAGTCGCCCTTGGCGACGATGTCACCGCATGCCTTGAACATTCCAGTTCCCTCCAAAGCCAACATGAATGGAATCAGAATAAGAGTTGACATAGCAGTGAGAACAGCGTAGAGGTTTTGGGCATCTAGATTTTCACCAATTTTCTTTCCAGACATAGTCTTCTTTGATAGGACACCACGGGCGGCAGAGGAAACGTTGGACAGCATAGCAGAAGCAAGGGCAAGAAAGGTGAAAGAAAGCTCCTTCATGGATGCGATTGCAACACCACCAATGATGGGAAGGAGGGTAAGATACACAGGAATTGGCAAAATTTGTCCAAGCAACAAGGCGTTAAGAGCGCAGGTTACAACGGGCTCGGATGCCTTTACAATGTGTGCGAAGGAGACGGCACCAGCGCCGAGAGCAATGACGGCACCAACATGGACGCCCGTATGGCAGAGAGCAATAGGAATGAGGGTCTTCAACTCGGACGCATTCAACTTGGGCGCCTTTCGGATGCCCAAAAGCCACAATGGAACGAAGTAGAAAATACCAGTAGCCATTTGGATGGTTGCAACAGTCCAAGGAAAGTCAAGAACATTCAGGGCCTGCTTGTTGTAGATGTTGTATGCGATGTTGAAGAGATACCAAAGAGCAAAGTAGAATCCCACTTGAAGAGTTTCAAACAAACCTCCAGATTTGGGCTCTTCCTCCTTCACTTTTGCCCCTCCGGTTGATGACAAAGAGATAGCAGTTGAAGAGCTGACTTGCCTGAAAAGAACAGATTTCACAAAAAGAGATGGGGGATTAGGAAGTTCTCAAACCCACACGATCAACTTGAAAGTCAATGCATCCCTGCCGAAGAAACGCGACTGACACGAAAAAATACTAAACATGCATATGATGTCAAAGATTGGAAGGACTCACTTTGTTGGAAGAGGAAGTTGGGCCTTTCCTGCCAAAGAATTCTTTCCAGCCACATTCTTGACGAAAGCACTGGGGTTAAAGGCGCTAGCTCCAATGGAAACGGAAGCTGCCAATGCAAGTGTCACCAACGCTCTTGCTGCAATTTTCATGGTGATGATCCAAGTGAGATTGATGAAATTAAAAGATTTGGGTGCTCACTATCAGATGTGACACGTACTGCAGTTCAGGTACGTACTGTAGCTTCTAGTGCGTTGCAATGTTACAGTCAGTTTAGTCAGTCGACTGACGTACTTGCACCTACACGCACCAGTACTGCTAGATACACTACCAGACATCTCGCGACTAGTTTGATCCCGCCACATTTGATATCAAAAGACAAGTCAGCCATCAACACCACTGCTGTACATTTTACGATAATATATTAATGAATTTTCCCTTTGCGTTTGAAATGAAACGCTACGAATAGAAACAGAAAAAGAAATCAGTGTAAAGTGCCCGATAAGATCAGAGCAAGACACTGTATTGTGGGCATTCAAACCAGCAAATGCCGTTTGTCAACTCGTTTCTCTCAGACCTCAGGCAACTTCGTCCTTTGCCTCCAAGTAGAGTGTTTGTTGTTTGGTTAGTGTTCCATCTTCTTTTTCTAACGAAGCCGCTGTACGGCTGGACGCCTTTCGGGAAAACTGTGGCAATGGTCATAGAAGGACCTAAGAATGCAACATCGCATCACCCTCGATTTATGGAGCTGGCCTTGAAGCAAGCAAAAAAAGCCTGGGAGAAAGGTGAAGTTCCGATCGGTGCTGTCGTGGTTGGAAGGTCTGAAGACGGGGAATTCAAAGTCGTTTCGAAGGCACACAATAACGTTGAAACTGAATTCGATGCCTCTGCGCATGCAGAGTTACTCGCTTTGCGAAAGGCGGCATCGAAGGCAAGAAACTGGCGTCTTACAAATACAACTCTGTATACTACCTTGGAGCCATGTCCCATGTGCTTGGCAGCGGCGCAAGCTTTCCGAGTTTCGTCTATCGTCTATGGCGCTCCAGATCTCCGACTAGGCGCAATAAAGACACACATGCAACTCCTGGAGGTAGACCATCCTTATCACACAATAGAAGAAGTAGTTCCAGACGTGTATTCTGAAGAAAGTGCTGCAATGCTTAGATCATTTTTCCGTGCTAGACGACAGCGATCGTCGAACTCAATGAAACGAGAACCTCGGCACGGAGTACTGAAGAGGTTCTTCTCAAATATTCGTAGTTTACTGTAGGATACAAAAGGATCTTTAAATGATCTATTTCTATTGTCGGCGTTTAAAAAAAAATCTTGACTCACGGTCAGACGTTTTCTGAAACTTTGTACTGTACTGTAAAATATTAATACCATTTCCCTTCCACCTGGAAGCTTCCCAAGATCATTTTTCTTTCAATAGAATCCATCACCTATCTACAGTACCGGTACCTCTAGTGCCTCTCGCTCCCCTTTGCTCCATATTCATAGCCAATCATCTCTTGAATATCATCAGCCTTCGGATCTTAGAAAGAACGCATATCGAAGTCCAAAATGCGTATGGGTAAAGTTGAAAGACCAAGCCGAGAGGAAACGAAGCCTCCTCGAGCTGATTCCAAAACGAAGCCGAAGCATGCTGCTGCTGCCAGTGTGGTTGGGCAGGTTTCACCCGATATTATATCAACTTATTTCACACCTGTATTGACGGAACTTGCGGCACAGGCGTTAGGAGACTACGCTGCAAATCTGCTTGAATATGACGATATTATACGTGACATGAAGGCCATGAAGGAAAAGCAAACAGTTGTTGATGCCGATGGGAAGATTCGAGGTATCGAAGCCCCAGAACCGCCAATCGCACCGTTATACCGTTCTGAATATTACGTGAAGGAATTGCGTCAAGTCCTTTCGGAAACCTCAGACCATTTTCAGTCAAAAAAAGGTGGATGGAGAGTTCATGCCAGAGCATCACGCTTCGAGCGGTTAATGGACCAAAAATACGGAATCTTTCGCCCTTTCTTGAAGCAGCATCCCGAGGTGGATAAGTTTGTACGTTCTGTGCAAGTGAAGTATGCCAATGGCTATTTTAGCCCGATACGACAAGGAAAGCCTCCAATTCCTAAAAGTACAGCTGTGATCATTTTGTTCATGATGAAGCGTGGAGATATGAAGTGGGAAATATTGACTCTTTCAGCGCTATTTTTCCTCGTGGGTTTGCAACCATGGGCCTTAGTCATTCTTGTCGCTGGAGGTCATACATTACTTGAGGGGCGTAAAAAGAGAGCTGTAAAGCCAATGGAAACACACATTCCTACTGCCAGGCCATACTTTCGGAGTAATCGGGACGAAGCATCGAGTCGGAAGACCAAGACCGACTTCCTATCGAGACCTGTGGGTAAAAAACATGTACCCAAAGAAAGAATTAATATGATGAAATACGATACGATGATACTAGGTTCGGGCCCAGATGTCTTGTATACTGCTTCCTTGCTCTCTCGAGCTGGCAGAAAGGTATTGGTGATGACGGCGAGATCAGATGCTAGTGGTTGCTACACAATCGAAGATTGTAATTCAGGGGAGGCAAAGAAATTCCACAATGTCCCTTTTGATGTTTGCTCTTCCAACGTTTCCAAGATAAGTGGTCAGCAGGAATTACTGGCGCCAGCCCTTAGCAACTCTACAGATTTTCAAGGTGGAGTTCGATTTGCAAAAATTGGCTCAGAGGCTGATGGCTACGCTTTTCAGATACTGTCGGTTCCAAGTATGGGAGGCGATGATACTCCTTGCCCTTTCGTTCTACGTGGTCGCGGTGTCTCAAGCCTTATGGAAGACGCGGCAGCATCTTTAGGAGATGGTTGGCCTGACGCAAGTGGATCAATCGGGAACTCTGCAACTGGGCTCTATTCTGCCACATGTGAGTCCATAAATTCTAGTGCAGCGAACTACTACCTATCAAAAATCATCGAGGATAGTGTGAATGAGATGAGAAACGATGGCATTTACCACAGCGTAGCCTCTCGATATGCCTCAGGGTTTCTGGACAAAGGGTTCCCATCCAATCCCCATGCTCGATCTTTGATGGCGGCAATTGGAATGAATGGGGAAGATATCAAGCCCACAAAGACAAGCATGGCTCCCCATGTAACCAATGTCTCAGCAGCATTGAGTGGTGAAGGAATGCACTACCCTGTAGGTGGCCCAAGAGCGCTTTGCCATGCACTATCGACTGTTGTGGAGCAGAGTGGTGGCTGCGTTCTCACAAATGTTCCTGTAACAGAGCTGATTTTCGAACATTTTGATGCACTTGCTCCGAACCAAAGGGATGAAAAGAAAATGTCAGCACCGCGATGTTTGGGGGTGAAATTATCTGATGGCACCGAACTAAAGTTCGACATGAAGAGCTGGAGAAATCAGGATTATTCTCCTGCAGTTATTTCGATGCATGGTTTCATTACAACTTTCATCCGCCTCATGCCTGACGATATCCGTACCAAATACAAAGTGCCTCGTGGATTGCCTGCACTTAGCGAAAGTCGTCCCGTCTTCAAGCTGCTGTTTGGGCTTCGAGGTTCTGCAACGGATCTCGAGGTGACAGGAATTGATTTCTGTAGGGTTCCGGGCGCTGGGCTAGCTCAAGATGAATTGGATCCTGTGAAAAATGAAATGAAACACATGGGATCTACAGGTGGTCGCCGGATGGACAACGTCATTTCAGAGCACATAAATCAAGAATCGAATGATGCTCCTGAAGCAGCAAAGGAAAATGACAACAAAAAGGCTAAGGAGCTTAAAAATAAGTCCCATGTGAGGTTCGAAACAGGGGCTTCCTGGATGAAGGTTTCGTTTCCTTCTGCAAAGGATCCATCTTTCGAGTCTAGACATGGCAGTATCACAACCTGTGTGGTCACAGTCGAAGCAGATGATGACTTTGTATCTTTGTTTGAGACGAAACCGAGGCTCTACAGTTCTCAAAAAGACCAAGGAAACACTACTGACAAGTATCAAGTTTTGATCGACCGAATCAAATGTGATCTATTGAATGTGTTTCCCCAGCTAGAAGGTATTGTCCTGTATCGTTCCTGCCGAATCATTTCTGCTCGCTTTTGCTTAAATCTCGCTTCACATCGATACAGGAAAAATTGTCTGCTCACAGTTAATTGGTCCAATATACCGTGGGCTGAGTCATAATCCAGAGCGTTATGTTGCGAAGGGAGTGCGTCCACAGTCGCAATATCCTGGTCTTTTTGCTGGTGGTTCTGATTTGACTGTCGGCGAATCATTCAGTGCTTCGATTGTAGCTGGTTGGCTAACAGCAAATGCCGTCATGGGATACAGTGCAATCGACTATCTATTCCTGCAGAAGAACATCACTTCAGATATCATCAATTTCCTCGAAGAACCTGATGTGGATGATAATGAAGATACCGCAGTGCCATACGATATGCCCCAGTCCGAAATTTCGGCTTTTAGCTAGCCCGAAAATGTAGACTGGAAAGCCATTGTTACAATAACTGCAATACTTTTACTGTAGAGTGAATACTAGTAGGCTTCATTAAAATCTTTCACCCAAAGCGTCACGCTCTCCCGGATTTCAGACACCAAACTGTCTCTGCACTCTGCGGCTGCATTGATGTTGTCTTTGGGGCCATTTTTCCATCCATCAATTATTACCTCCAGTTCTTCATGATGAGTACTACAGATATCAGGCAACTTCATCGATCCACTCGCGACTACTTCCTCACTACCACTGTCGCGGATTTCGTAGTCCACATTGCAGTGGAAGTCAAAAATGTAGCGTTTCTTTCCACTGACCAGTGCAACAGAAGCATCCCCAGTCATATCAGTCGCTTCCGTGATAAAACCACAAAGAGCCGCTGATTCAACTTTTGTTTGCTTGAGTCTTTGGGTGAGACGATCTCTACACCAAATACCACAGTCCCGTTCTTCCCACGTCTGGGCCGTATTCCATTTGGAGCCTGAGCTTACAATGTCCGATTGCTGTGAGCCCGAATCAAGTTTCTTCGGGGCATTGCGCTGGGCCGCCAGCATCTTCTCTTCTTTTGTTTGCTCACGGGTAAAATATGAAGTAACGGAACCGTCCCGCAGTGTCTTGTATCCCCGCAGAGCCTGAAGTTCCTTGTCTGTGAGCTCTTCATCAGAGTCACTGTCATCAGCCTTTGTCAGTTCGCGTAGCTTCCTCCGTCTTTCCTTCTCAGCTTCCATCCTTTTCCTCTCTTCCTCCTCTTTTTCTTCCTCCTGTTTCTTCGATTCTTGCTCATACTCGTCGAAACTACAAGCTGATTCCCCACGTGCCATTCGACGGACACATTCGTCCTCCCAGTCCTTTCGTCTCTTCGCTTTCAATTCCTCAGCTTTTCTCTTGGATTCTATCTCTGCTTCCTTTTTCAGTCGCTTCTCCTCCTCCTTGTCGTCATAAAGTAGACCGCCATTAGAAAAAGCCTTCTGCATACTCTGCCTTGCCTTTCCATTTTCTTTTGCTATTGAATGCTTGATGGATGCAAGTTCTTTACGGACAGCACTATTCTTGGAATCATATTTCAGTGCTTCGCGCAAGTCATCTCGAGCCTTTTTGTATTCACCAAGTTTCCGATTGGCTTCACAAAATAATGGGTGGTAATAGAAGAGGCTTCAGCGCGTAAATCTCAATCTCAACGTTTTCATCCCATTTACTCACCTACGGCTCGTCTGTAAAAGGCCTTGACATTATTATTTTCAATCTTTAGGACACTCGAAGCAACCACGGCACTCTCCTTGTACTTATTCAATTTGAAATACATCATGCTAAGGTTTGATTGTAACGAAACAAGAAGTGATTTAACCTGAGGATCTCCCGTGTTGGCTTTGTTCAGTGGTTTGAGTGTACTTGTTCCGCGGCGATAGGACCTAGAATGTCGGAATGAAGGGATAGCATTAATTTCGAAACAGGACCAGTCATGTTCCGAAGCTTATTAACTTACCTCAAGGCTTTTTCGTAGTCTTGAGCTTTGAAATAAGTATTACCTTCTTCCTTTAGTCTCGTAGCTTTGATTAGGAGCAATTCAGGATCCTTTTTTGCCTCGGAAGTATCCATGTCATAAGTGTCAGAATTGTCAGATTCTGTGGACGAGACGCTAGCGGAGTTTTCATCCGAAGATGCTTCTGACTCTACTTTCTTTTCTTCATTCATAGAAAGGTCCTCCCCTAATTCTACTTGCATGCCCTCGATATCTTCAGTTCTAACAGATGATTCAGCCATCCTTCAATCCAATCTTCAATTACTGCGACAGGTTGCGTCAGTCTAGGTACAGTTTGATCTGATGAGTATTTTGAAAAGGAACGTGTCTGTCTATCGTCAGTCTCCTCCAATACTTCATAAAAGAAATCGATAGAAGTACTCCTCCAATACTTCATTTAAAAAATCGACAGAAGTACTACTGGTACAGTACGAGTATTGTATTCTTCGAAAGTTTTTAAAAAAATCAGTAGTATCAAACTCCTTGCTTCGCATGTATCATTTCGGAATCGGTGCGCCGTAGGGCTTCTCGATATCCAAATATCCCAGCTTTCCGTGTTTGGTGCAGAAACCAAAGAAGTGATCCTTTTGGTATGTCCCATTGCCGAAAGCCTCTCGACCCCAGGATTGCTCTAAGTCGCTCCGTATTCTATACCATTGATGGTGCAGTTTTCGACACAGACGCAGCTGAATGATATCTGAATCCTGTGGTAAACATAACCACGGCTTCTGGCAAAGAGTAAAGTGCGCCGAGACCACGTCTTCAAGTGGGCGGTTTCTGCAGTCTTCGCACTCTTCTTGGTTAGTCCGGCACCTTCCCTGTGGGATATCGTTTATTGTCCTCTTGTCTTTTGGATTGTCTGCCATTTGGTTGTAAATACATCGGCTGAGTTCAATGGCTTCATTATCGTGCAAAACATCGTAGTAATATGGAATTAAACCTTAAAAGTCACAAATGGGAGTGAGGTTTTGATAGAGTCAATTCATAACATCTTGCCGAACTCTTCTTACCTTGAAACGTCATAAAGCCATAGAAAGGACCTACTATTCCTCCCCATCCCGTTCCCTCCTTGTCAATTCCTTTCTTGATTATGCGAACAAATTCCTCGTACACTTTCATATCTGGACGAAGCACGAGGAAACCCCCTTGGACAGGCTTATAGGTTCGACCCGGGCCGACCATATTGTCTGTTGTGCAAGGAATGAAAGCGAAAATTGAGTATCCGCCACAACTGACAGCATTGTTTCGTTGGTCTACGTACAGTCCCGCGTGAAAAATGCATTGACTTTCTCTGGAAGACTTTTTTCCGGCCACATTATTGGCACATTGATCGTGTCCCAGTCATCTGGTGACTTTGCCATCATCATATCAAATAGTGCATCCATCGGTTTCAGAACAACTACATCTAGATCCAAGTGTACAACCACTGGGTGTTCTGTCAGAGTGTACGCTTCAAGCTTTACTAGTTCCTTCTCACCACAGCACCCGTTCGATTCCTTTGTCGTAAAAGGCGAATGGATAAAAACTGGACGGTGAGAGGCCAAAGGTGGCTAGGACAGCAACTATTTATGATTTGAAAAAGATTTGATGACTTACAATTTTTTCTCTTAAGAATTTCCCCTCAATATCCTTGACAGCAACTGGTGTTTCTCGTTGGATCAACTCATATCCAAGATCCTTTAAAGTGAGTGCACAGGCTTCTCCATCGGGGTGATATATTGCGTACATCTTGTAATTATAGCGACCATTCCCGTGTATAGATGTTAAATGGACTGCATGCTTCAGGACAGCCGCGCCCTCTGTTATGGGATCCGAGCCGCAACCTGTAATGGTAACTGCCCACCCTATGGTCTCCGCATCAGTTGTAGATGATAACATTTGAACTGGTTGAGTGGCTGGATTTGCGTCCTTCCCAAATCTACCATTTGATCCAGCATCGACGCTTCCATCAACCTTACTTCGCATTGGTGCATTCGTTTTTTCTACAACAGCTTGATTTTCGCTTGAAGGCGCCACGCTGTGACCTTTTCCAACAATCATCAATAAACCAGCGGCATAAAGAGCGACGATGATTAAACTTCCGACAATAATAACATGTTGAATTGGAATGGGCGATCGACGCTGCTTCCCACCGATTCTTCGTCTTCCCAGTAGTCCTTGTAAAGGCATCTAGTAAAGTTTCGATCGCGTCCGCAAAATGGTACTATGGGTAACATTTCATTTTCTGTTCGTTTGTTTTACCTGAGTGGTCGAAGGGGTCAATAACTTTCCTTTATACGACATAACATACCGGTACCTGGGACGCACCACAACGTCAAACGCACGCCCGAAATCTGTCCGTTTAGATTTAAAAAATAATTTTTACAGTATGTTGTCAGCTTCCTTGGCTTGTAATTGGCAGTAGTCTCTGTAACTTTGGGACTTCCGGGGGTAGCCATTGGGTTGATATTGTCAAAGATGTTGGAGGTGGTTTCGAAATGACAAAATCTGAAACTTCCTCCATTACGCAAATAGGCTCATAAATTGCTTATTAATATGACTAGGGACTGAAGTCCTGCAGTTGCATCAACATCATCTCTGGTCAAACACCTAGTGTAAGCGCACATAGTTCACTGAATCCATCAATCTTTCTTCACAGGTTGATTGTATCAATATCACAGAGGGCGGAAATAGGTGTAGATGGCTTTGATGGTGGTAAGTTTTTTAGAATTCGATTCGGTCTGAATGACAAGTTGGTGTCTATTTTTGGCCCTGGCATGAAAAAATGAGCGATCTGGGGTCGTAACCAACCCTTCCACATACTCTACATGTTGTAGAATGCATTGGCTTGTTATTGGAAGTGAGTTATGCAACTTTGGGGCTTCAAGAAATGGTCTTTGGTGTGGTGGTGGTGTCGATCTGATGAATACCAAATTTTTTGTCAAAACAGGATTGTTTCGGCCGAAAAAGGAAAATGACACATCTACATCAGCTTGGAACCCAAATTTTTGAAGCAAACTTCCACTATATAAAAGTATTTGGTGTGTAAAATCGTATTCTATAATTCCATCATTAAGCTATTTAACAGATGTGATTTGTGTCAAATTTTGGGGAGTCATCCCTGAACAGGGATGACTGACCCCCGATGGGTTAAAAGATGATTGGAGAATGTGAATGAATGGAAGTTTGCGACAAGACCATCATGTTGTGCTGGTGCCAACATTTAGTCCCGCCCAGTTCAAAATCATTGCCATTGTCACGTTACGCAAGCTAGACCAAAAGAAGAATTGGATGTATACCGACCAATCACAAGCAAGTATGTGGGCATGCTTTAGTGCTAGTAACATTTGGAACAGACTGGCAGACAAAAACAATATTCCTGAGGGTGGCGCCCCATGTCATCTTCTATATGCTGATGTGCTATTCAAGAAGTATGCTAGCAATAGTGATGCAGCGCAAATACATTTCTTAAATGGGCTTGGATTTTCATTCCTCTTGTGCATGACCTACACCACCAGGTGATTGGGATGGATCTCCGACTGATTGGATGAAACAGGTTGGTCACAATGACTTCCATTGTCTATGATGCTACTACATTTGGGCGCTTTGATAAATGTGGGATGTCAAATGCTACAAAGCAGGCCTCAAGTAGTGTGATGTTGCTAGCTTGATTAACAACGGCTACATTGTCCATTGGAGCGGTTGGCACAAGGGTGGCAAGTCAGATATAGAGATTTTGCGAGAGGAGCTGAAGTCAAAATTGGACGCAGGCGAATGTGTCAAGGCCAATGCTGAGTGTTCAGGCAAATCATGCTGTTTGAACAATAATCAGGACAAGACTCAGAACGAGAGACCATTCCATCAATTCAGTGATCACAACATGATGATGAAAGACAATGTCTACGGTACAGACACCAACATCGCATGTTGATTAGAGGTTGCAAATATAATATGTCCAGAAAACAACCTTTTCCAGAATGATACTGTCATGATGAAATCAAATCTCACGGCAGAATATCAAGTACATCCAACCGCATCTACAACAGCAAGTCCGACAAGCCAACTCTAGCAAAGAAGACAGGAGAACATTTGAATGATTGAAATGTGTCAAGGGAGCAAGACTGAATTACAAACAAGAATGAACTTGCATCAAATGCTAGTACGCTGCTGGTGGAAGTACTGACCATGCAAGCGGAACTCCAAAGTGATAGCAACAGCAATAAGACTATCAATCATGAACAAAGCAATGAAAAGAGTATGACTACAATTGATCATGAGCGCAACGATAATCTGTCGCTAAAACAACACATTGCAATAGAACAATCAGCAGAATTTGCTGTCATTGGGACGCAAGAACTCATTGCAACCTACTGTATGCATGAGGTCTGCGACAAAGCTAATGAGATCAAACAAGTGCTGAATCCACAACAACACTACTACCTTCAATTGAGTTTGAACAAACCATTCAACAACCAAAAGTGTGTGTTAAATGTTATGTTAGAATAAAGCAAAATGTGCTCTATCGTGAGTGCCTTTAGCGCTCAGAACAAACTCTCTGCAATCTAAATTCGTAATCGACGGTACAACACTTTCACGACAATAGTTCTCCTGTGTCTAGGTATACTTTGAGTGAAATTGTTCCTATTTGATTAATGTTTGGTTTGAATTGATGATTCAATCACAAAAGTGAGTTCGACAATTTTCCCTTGGAAAATCCCTTGTTTACAGAACTCGATTCGACTTCTACGACAATTCTGTGTTGAATGCAGTACTTTGGGATATCTTGCA